CCACGGGAGTTGGATGATCGACAACCCCATCGTTGGTGTTTAGCATTGTAGTCTCCTCCAGCAATAAAGCGCGATCCGAGGGATTGTAATAAGGATTCAAGTAGGCTGTACGAGAGTGAATTGCCAGGAGGACAGTATGCAGCTGAAAGTGTTAGATGGAAAGGACGATTTGAGAGGATTACAGAAGTTGACTGAATGGCATCTGTTGGAATAGAAGGAATAAGGGAATGGGGCAAAGATTTGTGGATAAGGATGCAAGAACCGGTGTGGGCAGTGTTGTCTGGGTGGTCAGATCTATAGGTGATGTAGTTACGTATGTAGAAATGTGTCCGTTGGGTAAAGTGAGTTTCTGTCAGGATAGCAATGTCAATATAATTGTCATGGAGAAATATGTCTAGTTCGTCACGGTGGTTTTGCAGTCCATTAGCGTTCCATAAGAGAATAGCTAGGGACTTTGTGTTCATCGAGGGAAGCTAAGCGGGATTTCGGAAAGGAGTCTGGTTAGAAGGGTTATGAGCAGTTTGATAGTCTGTTGAAGATCTATCAGGAATGACGATAAGATAGTGTTAATGCCGGATGGTGTTTGGCTGGGAAGTGGGTTTGGATCAGGAGGTTGTGATGGGTAGGTTATGCGACTAGGAATGTTGGGTGGGGTATGGGCCCATCGTGGGGTACGAGGAGGATCTAAATTCTGTTGGACTTGTGGAGGGGGGTTCATCCTGGGATTAGGAACGAATGGAGCTGGATGTGGATGCTCTGGTGGGAGTTTGACTCTTAAGGGTAAATGATGAGGAGGGATTTTCTGGGGAGGAGGTTGAGGGTGAGGATTAGGGATTTTGGGCTTGGATTGGAAGGCCTGAGGTGCCTGACGTTGAGGTTGCTTCTTACTGATGGAAGACTGGGAGTGAGAATTTCTGAGATTCTGGTGAGGTGAGTCCTTAGCTGTAGAGATGGATGGTTGTTGTTGGATGACGAGGGAAGGTGAAGTCGGCAATGCTGGGAAAATTTCCTGATTTTCAATTTCAGGTGCCTCAGTGTAAGTTTTCTGAGCAGATCCAAGATTTTTCACCTCTGAGTTTCGTGATCTTTGTTTGTAAAGATTTGTATACACTTCACATCCTCTGTAGCTCGCAGGATGGGCTTCGCCACAAAGAGCACACGTCGCAGGCTCATCTCTTGGCTTCTGGCAATTGTCTGAAGCGTGTAGGCCGGCACATTTAACGCATCTGACTTCGTGATAACAATAGGCCTTTGTATGGCCCAAGTTTTGACACTTAGTGCATTGTACAATTAGAGGCTTCTGTTTCGGTTCCTCAAAACGGACTATTGAGTAAACCAATCGTTGAACCTGGAATATTTCAATATTGGTTTTTGCTGGTTCCAAGTCTATAAAAAATAATGGTAGCGGATATCTTTCTCTAGGATGTAGTACAGGTGCTATGTGCCTGACGTTATGACCGATTTCTTCGAGGCCCGATTTGATAGCAGATATGGGTGTGGTTGAATGTAGTCCTCTCAGGACCACTCGATACGCCTTTTCTTGTTTTAATTGGTAACAGTGGAAGTCGTAGTTATTGGTTGTTAAAAAATTGATCAGTTTTTTATAATTGTCTCTAGAATTAGTATTGATTTTGATGTCGTTCACTCTCGAGTAACATCGAAAATTTGGCTGTCCGATCTAATCTGCAATTTGTTGACCAAACGACATAAAGTTCTTAATTTTTGAAACAAATATTGGCGGCAGCTCAGGATCAGAAAAATCTTGAAGCTGCGGAGTCTTGTGAGATAAGTTGTTTTCTTGAGTTTTTGCTTTCTGATGTTTTTGGTGCAGTTGTCTCTGATTGAGTGGCATTAGATTTGCTCCTAGTTCTCGGTGGAGATTTATCTTGTTCTGGTTGCTTATTTGATTTATTTTTCTTTTTTTTTTTTATTAGGTGAGTTTTGTCCCGATCCGGGAACTGAGTTTCGGAGACGCTTTTGGAGTGTACGCCTTTTCAAATATTGTGAGTCGGTCTCGCTAATTTCCGAAAAGGGTGTCTCATCTTCAGTGTCTTCACATGATGTGTCCTTATCCAGATCCATCATGATAAGTGTTAGAGAAAATTAAAAAAAAAAAAAAAAAAAAAAATATATATGTATATATATATGTAAACCTAAATATTAAAATTAAAATTTATAAGATAACTTCTTAAAAACTAAGCTATTTACAAAATTATTTACATAAATATATACAGATATAAAATAAAATATAAAATAATTCATTCCAAAAAATAAATAATCAAAGAAAAAAATGAAATAAAAGAGTATCTGGAAAGAAAAAAAAAAAAAGAAAGAAAATATAAAAAAAAAAAAATTAAGTTAAATGTCTTGGATTCGAACTGAGGATAATACTGAAGAATGTTATTGTACACAGTGCCGAGCCTTGGCTTGAACTTATCGCAGATAAGGTAAAACCCGCAAGGGAATTACTAGCCACATGGGCTAACCAAACGAGCACTAATTTATAACTGTTTCATTGTTAATAAATAGTCACTCACCTGATCATATGTGAATATAAAAATGTAAAACAATTAATATAGTCACTGTTGAAAAAGTCTTAGAGCAGTATTTTAAATAATAAGCACATTAGATCGTATCAAAGATAGAGCGACGTGTAAGTTTAATTGCACTAGCGGCCATGACACTTGCTACTCATGTTGAAAATAAAAAATAAATATAAGTATATATAAAATAAGAAGAAGTTGTCAAATACAGAAATGAAAGATGGTATCAGAGATATAGTGGGTGACAATGTAGTTAAATATTAAGAATTAATATATGTAGAAGATACAAATAAATGGAAAATAAGTATGAATAAAATTTTATTTACTTTATTTTTATTTTTATTCATACTTATTTTCCATTTATTTGTATCTTCTACATATATTATTCTTAATATTTAACTACATTGTCACCCACTATATCTCTGATACCATCTTTCATTTCTGTATTTGACAACTTCTTCTTATTTTATATATACTTATATTTATTTTTTATTTTCAACATGTTTTGTATCTTTTGTAGCCCTGAAGACGACCTGCAAAGTGGGTCGAAACGTCGGCAAAAATTTAAATAATTAATATATTTTAATTTATTATTTATTTGACCGCACCCTCGGCTAACTCCTTCTCATATTATATCAACGGTCAACCATCTCTAAGATTTCCATTATTTATCTTATTTTATTCTTAACCATCTCATTATTTATTTCATTTTGTTTTATGTCCATATCATTATATGGTAAACCTTAAGCATTAAAATTATGCATCATTATATATATATCTGAGACGTCCCAGTGACGATTTTTCGGCCATTTCCGGGTTAGTCCGCCTCTCGTGGTATTACATGATACTAGCGAAAAAAGAAAACATTAGGAAGGCAGTATGGCTGCTGATTGCTCTACTTTAAGAACTGCCTCCATGAGGTTCTCCGTCCCATCACAATATCTTCTGGCAAACCCATTGGTTTCATCACTCCACGTTGTGACGGCATCTTCCCTCATCTGGGACATCATAAGAGGAGTCCCGTCAGCTGCACCAGTGATGTTAAAACACTTAATATGACCGACTGGCTGGAGGTGACCAGTTTTATTTTAATTACGAATAGATTAAGGTGAGTGGCGTCAATTTAAAAACATTAATGATCCCATGGATCTAAGGTGTTATTATCAAGTGAAATAAAAAACATTATTTCTTAATTTGCACTTCATGTTTAAGTTACACATGCACTTGTACATTAGTTAATGTTCCATTATCAAAAGTACACTCATAGTGTAATGACTAGCATCCTGGTTTATAACAGTGAACATTCTCAGTTCAAGTGACTGGTTCAACCATATCTTTTTTTCATATTTTCTTATTATAAATTATAATTTTAAATCTATATACAGCTATTTAAATTTTCTGTACCATAGTTTAATTATTTTAACATTTAAATTAAATTCATTTATATTATATAATAATTAATTAATTCTCATTCACATCATTTGTAAATTTAATGTTAAGGTTGTTTTCTTCCATGCTTAATGTTTAACATAATTTTATTTCTCTCATTATTTAATTACTATAATTTGCATTAGGGAAAATATTTTTAATTTATTATTTTTTGCTGTTATTATTTCTTTTATTATTAATTTTCAATATAGAATTTTCTGCTATTCGTCATTTTATTTATCCTCAAAGGATTTTATTATTTTAAATAAATTAATTAATAAGGCAACAGTGCCTATGGATTAGGTTGCAAACTTGGCTGTTTACACTTGAAAGCCCGCTGCCTCCACAGTTATTTTAATATTACTATTTTATTGTGTGTATTATACCTTGTGTATACCAAAACACAATAAATAAATATAATTAGTTATTATTTTGAACTGGTTGTCATTATTTCATCACCAATAATTATTCTAAGCATGATGTATTAGAACGATGATTGTAGATAGGTTTTAACTTTCAGGCTGCCATACATGAACTTGCTCATACTTCTTTTAGCTTTGTTTGGATTTTATTGTTAAGGATTTTAAATTTGAAACTTCAAGTTAGTCTAGTATGTATATATATTTTATTTCTTATTTATATCATTTGATACTTTAGTTGATGATTCCGTAATACTTTATCCTTTATGTTCTCTTTTATTAAATGGTATTGATTAAGATTGAGCAATGTGCTGGGTGATTCAGCAACTCAGTAAAGTTGAGCAGCTGTATACTTTTATTATGTTTCCCTCTAGTTAGGATTGTATTAACAGAAAAATAAAAGGATGACAGTTTAACCTTAATTTGTTTTTGTTCAATATATTGAGAAATCATTAGTGTAATAAATGATTTGGATTTCCAGGATCTGCCTTAATATTTTCTATGTTTAGATATGTCTGGAATATATATGCTCAGATGCACTGCTAATTTATTTGAATATTTCTTCACAAGTTTTTAAGATTTTGTTTAAATTATTCCTGTTTGCTTTCAGATAAAATTTGTAATTACTTTGGTGTTAAAATTGCAATGTATTTTGCTTGGTTAGGGCATTATACTACTGCTCTAATAGTACCAGCTGTGATTGGACTTGCTTTTTCTGTGAGTAAAATTAGTTATATTAACAGATTTAAAAATAATTTAATTATTTATTTTTTACTTTCACTTATGTATATATGTAATATATAGTAAGGGTAATTAATTTTTATTTTCAGAAATGATGTGACTGTTTTTTTTCCCCCTTTCAACAATTTATTTTATTAATATCAGAATTTAATTCTTATAAATGATTGATTGTATGTAAGATATTAGTAAGATACAAGACATGGAATAAAATCTATATACCTTCTGAAAATCAGATGAACCGATTTTCACTATTTGTATACCATAAACTATCTTATTTGTTTTTTTTTAATATTAATTCTTTTAGCTATTAATGATATAACGTAATAGGTTGGTTTTGGACGTGGTGATCAAGCAACTGAAGATGTGGGATTTGTTCTATTCTCTTTCTTCAATGTTTTATGGTTTAGTATTTATCTGGAAGCATGGAAAAGATATTGTGCAGAATTAGCCTATAGGTGGGGTACTTTAGACCAAAGAGATGAACTTTTAGTTGAACCCCGACCTTTATTTTCTGTAAGTTGCTTTATTTTTTCACTTATTTGTATGTTTTATATCATTTTTATTGTTAAATCCATTATTTTATTTCATTACCAAAAATCTTTTTTAAGATTTAATAACTTAATTTAATATTTCTAGGGTTCTTTAGAGGTCAGTCCTGTTACAGGAAGATTAGAAGCCACATATCCAGCTTGGAAGCGATATGTTTTCAGATATTTTGTTACTGTACCAGTTATTGCTTTCTGCCTTATCATTGTTTTTATTGTTATGATGTTGAATTTGAAACTTCAGGTTAGTTTAATATTTTTTTCTTTTAAAAACTGACACCTATTTATTTTATTTGTATTGATACTTTTTGTCAGTCCCCAAATTTAAATCTGTTACATACTTGTTTCTGCTAATCTTTTATTATTTAACTTCTTAAAGGATAGTTGTAGATAGAAAAATTACAATTATTTCAAAAATGGCTTTTTATGTTGGCTGGGTTGACATGGCTTTAGTAGATTCTGTATTATTTTAGGTCAGAGATATTACATTTCATTATCTTGGCTTGTGGTTGGTTTAGACTCCTGTTATTGAACATATAACAATGAAAAAATTACAAATTTTCTTTTAGTGATTCATTGTTTATCCTGTATGACCAATTTCTATCTCATCTTCATTCACTGTGATGTTCTCAATTCAATTTTATTTATAGGGTCAGTTCATGCAATCCAGCATTTTGTCTTTGTATAAATTCTCAGATTGATTCATCCTTTTTGGCTTAATTATTCTACTTTCCCTATGACTGTCTTCTGGGTTTTCAGGACCACTTGCTGCACAACGCCCTTCTCTCTAAAAATACCTACATAATTTCTCTTCTTAACAGATTTGAATTCCCAGACAGTTAATGGTGTATCTTCATCTTCAAAAACCCACACTTTTCTTTAAGAATTAGTTGGGACATTATAGAAGTAAACTAAGTTTCCTCACCTATCACTGTACTGTTTTCTTGCTTTACTTTACTGAGACTTTTTGATTTTTAAAGTTCTTCAGTATTTCACTGCACCGTGAGGCACGGTTTGCCTAAGTTATTGGGCACTCAAAGTGTATAAAGCATCCCTACTTAAAGATGACCTCGCAGAATGCTATAAACTGCTGGTGCATTAATGCTCAAGGACTCCTCTATATGTTTGAAAGTAGGTCACTCCCCTGTCTGTCTCAAGCAGTTTTCGAACAGCATTAATGTTTTCTTTAGTCACTGATGAAGCTAGACGACCTGATCTTGGTGCATTCTCATGCTCAAAACTTCCTTTTTAAAACTCCCCCATCTGAATATTGTCACATGACAATCCTGTCAATCCAGGACAATCCAAGCACCACAGGCAGCATTTTCTCCAATCACTGATTCACACTTAACTCATGTGCTAAGTTGTGTAAAATCGCTCTATATCCAACTTTACACCAGGATAACATCCCTGGTACCTTTTAGTGATCTATCCAGCTATTGCACTGGCTGGGACAGGTCTACACATGTGCCTTCAATTTTTCAATGCCAAGAGAGATTTTCTCTTAAAACTAAACAAGCTGCGATTCCTGCTGACAATATTAAAAGAGCTTATTACAGCTGATTCAAAATCTTTATAAAACACGTTAAGCTCCCTCATGGTTTTAGAAGAAAATGTATAATGAAGCTTAACTAACAACAGTGTTGGGCAAAATTTATCTTAAATAAAAGATAATAGATAACGAATAATTTATTCGAACTTTCAACTACAAATAACGAATAATTCTGTTTATCTTTTATCTAGATAATAAATAAATTCAAGTTATCTATTATCTTTTTATTTGTTATTGGAGTTTTTTCAAATAAATTTCGAATAATTTGACGCTAATTGTATTTTTCTTCTATAAAGGGCTAATTTTTATTTTTTTCTATTTGTTTACTTAGCCTCTACCTCTAAGGGTCATTGGCTTATTGTACAACCGCTCATCGATTATTTGTAACTTTTCAAATTAAATCGATATGAGGGTCGACTATTATGTTTTGAGGGACGCTTTTTATGAAAATACTGTGGGATTTCAGATAGTGTCCCCGGGTATCGACTTTTTGTTACTTTTCAGATTAAATCGATATGAGGGTCTATTATTATGTTTTGGGAGCCGCTTTTTATGAAAATATTTTCGGATTTGAGAATGCGTCCCAGGGATCGACTTTTTGTAACTTTTCAGATTAAATCGGTATGAGGATCGACTATTATGTTTTTTTGGTTGAGCGCTATTTATAAAAATACTGTTGGATTTGAGATAGTATAAACATAATAATGGTCCCTCATATCGATTAAATCCGAAAAGTTACAAAAAGTCGATACCCGGGGACACTATCTCAAATCCGACAGTATTTTCATAAAAAGCGTCCCCCGAAACATAATAGACGACCCTCATATCGATTAAATTTGTGACCAATTTTGTAACCAAAAAGTTACAAAATGTCGATGCCCGGGAGCGCAATCTCAAATCCGAAAGTACCGCCCCTTAAAACATAATAGTCTACCCTCATATCGATTAAATCCGAAAAGTTACAAAATATCGATACTCGGGGGTCCAATCTCAAATCCGAAAGTATTTTCATAAAAAGCGCCCCTTTAAACGTAATAGTCTATCCTCATATCGATTAAATCCGAAAAGTAACAAAATTTCGATGTCCGGGGGCGCAATCTCAAATCTTAAAGCATTTTCATAAAAAGCGCCCCCTCCAAAACATTATAGTCGACCCTCAACTCGATTAAATCCGAAAAGTTACAAAAAGTCGATGCCCAGGAGCGCTATCTCAAATCCGACAGTATTTTCATAAAAAGCGCTCCCTCCAAAACATTATAGTCGACCCTCATATCGATTAAATCCGAAAAGTTACAAAACGTCGATGTCCAAAGGTCGTCGAATAAGAATAACAAATAAAAATTTATCTGTTATTCGTTATCTAGATAAAATTTCAAATAATTTATTTGAATAACGCCCAACACTGACTAGCAAATGTGAAAAAAAAAAACCTGGACCAAGCATTTATTTTTTCTATAGTAAAAAATAAAAAAATGAAATCAATTTTACGTTTCCTTGATTATAAAATAAAATATGAACTTCTAATAAATGAAAAGTTAAAGATAACGATAAATAAAAACAATCCTGAAATATTGAATAAAATAAATGATATTTGCATCTGTGTAACAGTCCCAAAATTAATTAATTTACAACTAATGCTCAAACTAACTAAATATCACTAATAATTATAGTAATACTTATATATAAAAAAAAGGTTGAAATAACTTTATGTGGCTGCGCATAGGTGACGGTCTAAGTATAAAAGTGAGTCCGCAGTGAAAGTGTGGCAGAACTCATTCAAACTGCATGTGGGCAGTACAGCAGTTGGCAACTCTCAGCCTCCAATAAAGGACTGAGACAATCTTTCTGGTTCACGGGCTTGACACTTAAAACTTATCATTTGTCTATATATATATTTAACTATAATACACTCATAATAATCACTATAATGCACACCACAACAATCGAGCCTATAAACTATAACTAACTGTGCATTACCAATTAAAACAGCTGATTTAATTTTTATTTTGTTTTTCCTTGTTTTGTTTTTAAATTAAAATATTATATTCAAAATTAAATGTTTAAACTTTAATAATAAATGAAAATAAAATAAAATAAATTTATTAATTCTTCTTCTTATTCGGCGTTACGACCCATTATTTGAGTCATAGCCTGCTCAAGCTTAGACCGCCAGTCCTCCCTGTTCCGTGCTGCTGCCTTCCAGTTCATAACACCGAGCAGAGATCTCGCGTCTGCAGCCACGCAGTCTTCCCAATGAAGTCTGGGGCGTCCAACCCGCCTGGTACCATACATTTGCCCAGCTAAGATCTTGTAAGGAACTTCGTTTGGGTCCATCCTTATGACATGACCAGCCCAGCGAAGTCTTAATACCTGTACGAATGTTGATACGTCTATTTCTTTGTACCTTGCTCTTAACTCAGCATTCGTTCTTCTTCTCCATGCGCATCCCTCATATATACCACCATATATACGGCGAAGCACTTTCCAACATTCTGAGCCATATGTAAGAACTGGTCGTATAATTGTCTTATAAATTCTCACTTTTGAGGCCTTCGACAACACACTACTTCTCAAGAGTTTATGGAGGGAGAAATAGGTGCGGTTGCGGAGAGGATCCGTCTTTGGATTTCTTCTTTAATGCAGTTATTACGGTTGAACTGGGACCCTAAGTATATGAATGATTCCACTCTTTCAAATCTATGGCAACCTATCGAGACATGACTCCCGCCATCTTCGTGGGTGGGCAGGGTGCACATATACTTCGTTTTTTCAACATTCACCATTAGGCCCAGTCTTGCTGCAGACTCCTCAAATGCTTTTAAAGCTTGTCTTATGGCGTTTATACTCCTTCCCCCAAGATCCAGGTCATCCGCAAATCCTAAAATCTGGACTGTCTAGTTGATAAGTGTTCCTGTTACTTGGATACCAGAGTCCCTAATAGCTTTCTCAAGGAAAAAGTTAAACACTAAACAGGCCAGGCCCATCACTCTGCTTCACACCTATCCTCGTTGTGAATCCTCTTGATAGCATTCCGCCCACTCTAACAGAGCATACGTTGTCCTCCATCGTCATTTTTACTAGACGAACCAGTTTGGTAGGGATGTTCATATCCACCATTGCCTAATATGCTTCTACTCTGTTCACGGAATCGTAGGCTTGTTGGAAATCAATGAACAGGTGGTGAGTATGTATCTGGTATTCTCTTGTTTTCTCCAACAGGATTCGTAGGGTAAACATTTGATCTGTCGTAGATTTTCCTTTTCGGAATTCAGATTGGTACTTTCCGAGCTCTTGTTCGGCAAATGGAAGCAGTCTATTGAACAGTATGATGGATAGAATTTTGTATGCGGTGGGAAGGAGTGAGATGCCTCTGTAGTTATTACATACCGATACATCCCCTTTCTTATAAATGGGGCAAATCACCATTTTGTTCCATTGAGCAGGTAGTCTTTCTTCTCTCCATATTTCAATCAATAACTCTTGGAGGAATTTTATTATTTCACCCCCACTACGTTTAAAGAGCTCAGCTGGGATATTATCAATTCCTGGAGCCTTGTTATTCTTTAATTTCCCAATTGCATCATGTATTTCCTCTTCATCTGGAGGCTCTATAAATACCTAATCTTCCCGTTCCAGAAAGTCACTTGGGAGTATATTCTCTTGACATCCTCTATTTAATAGATTTTGGAAGT